AGGGTACAAGACGAGAGGTACAAGACCAGGCTGTACCTCCCAGGGTACAAGACGAGAGGTACAAGACCAGGCTGTACCTCTCAGGGTACAAGACGAGAGGTACAAGACCATGCTGTACCTCCCAGGGTACAAGACGAGAGGTACAAGACCAGGCTGTACCTCCCAGGGTACAAGACGAGAGGTACAAGACCATGCTGTACCTCTCAGGGTACAAGACGAGAGGTACAAGACCAGGCTGTACCTCTCAGGGTACAAGACGAGAGGTACAAGACCAGGCTGTACCTCTCAGGGTACAAGACGAGAGGTACAAGACCAGGCTGTACCTCTCAGGGTACAAGACGAGAGGTACAAGACCAGGCTGTACCTCTCAGGGTACAAGACGAGAGGTACAAGACCAGGCTGTACCTCTCAGGGTACAAGACGAGAGGTACAAGACCAGGCTGTACCTCTCAGGGTACAGCCTGGTCTTCATAGGCTACTTAGGCTTCTATCGCCTTCCTGTTTCACCTCTGCCAGTTACGCTGCAACTTCCATAAATATGGTACACATATTCGCTATTAAAATTAAATTATGAAATAAAGTTATGATAAATTAAAAATTGATGTACACTTAAAACTAAAGTTATTTTAATGCATTTTATTTAATTGAACCGTAAAGTCATTGTATATTCCCAACTGTGAGATACATTTGGTGCGGGGGCGCGCGCGCGCGCGCACACACACACACACACACACACACACACACACACACACACACACACACACACACACACGCACGCACGCACGCACGCACGCACGCACGCACACACACACACACACACACACACACACACACACACACACACACACGCCCTAGCTACCTTCCGGATATTAGCTGCTCATCCTACCTTCGGGTTAGGGGGGGGGGGTTTGGGGAAAGTAATTTTGATGGAATAACTAGGATTATTGACACCATAACTGCAGGAGTTGTAGCCAACATAACAACCCCCGCCACCTGCAACTGTCGCCAGCCATAAAAACGTTCATCACAGCAATATTCACATTCATTTTCGTTTACGGAATAACCAACCTTTAGCCTCTTCCCTAAAGGAACCCCCATAGCCCTTGTTGACTCTAATGCTGGAGCGTCATCACAGCCTGGTAAACCCGGTACTGGAGTTGCTAGGCTTATCTTCCTCTCCCGGTAGGTTCAGTGTTGCCCCCTACCCTTCAGGGCAGGTTTTGACCCCCCTTCCACCCCACCTTGGGGGGTTCGGTTCCCCCCCACCCTTGCCAGCAGGCTAGTTTTCCCATTTTCAGCAGATTCGGTTCCTGAAATTCTTGGCGTGATGAGCCCTTCTTCCCCGAAGCAAAACCGGCTCATATATCCCAGCTGGTTCGCCCCCCCCTCCCTCCTCCCCCCCCCTCCTCCCCGCGCTCACACTCTCGGAGTGGTGGTGTCAGCCACAGGGAGGCTGTGGTGGTGTCAGCTACAGGAAACTGTGGTGGTGTCAGCCACATGGAGGCTGTGGTGGTGTCAGCCACAGGGAGGCTGTGGTGGTGTCAGCCACAGGGAACTGTGGTGGTGTCAGCCACAGGGAGACTGTGGTGGTGTCAGCTACAGGAAACTGTGGTGGTGTCAGCCACAGGGAGACTGTGGTGGTGTCAGCCACAGGGAACTGTGGTGGTGTCAGCCACAGGGAGGCTGTGGTGGTGTCAGCCACAGGGAACTGTGGTGGTGTCAGCCACAGGGAAACTGTGGTGGTGTCAGCTACAGGAAACTGTGGTGGTGTCAGCCACAGGGAGACTGTGGTGGTGTCAGCCACAGGGAGACTGTGGTGGTGTCAGCCACAGGGAGACTGTGGTGGTGTCAGCCACAGGGAACTGTGGTGGTGTCAGCCACAGGGAGGCTGTGGTGGTGTCAGCGACAGGGAACTGTGGTGGTGTCAGCTACAGGGAACTGTGGTGGTGTCAGCACAGGGAAGTGTAGTGGTGTCAGCTACAGGGAGGCTGTGGTGGTGTCAGCGACAGGGAACTGTGGTGGTGTCAGCCACAGGGAACTGTGGTGGTGTCAGCCACAGGGAACTGTGGTGGTGTCAGCACAGGGAACTGTAGTGGTGTCAGCTACAGGGAACTGTGGTGGTGTCAGCTACAGGGAACTGTGGTGGTGTCAGCTACAGGGAACTGTGGTGGTGTCAGCTACAGGGAACTGTAGTGATGTCAGCTACAGGGAGGCTGTGGTGGTGTCAGCGACAGGGAACTGTGGTGGTGTCAGCCACAGGGAACTGTGGTGGTGTCAGCACAGGGAACTGTGGTGGTGTCAGCCACAGGGAACTGTAGTGGTGTCAGCTACAGGGAACTGTGGTGGTGTCAGCTACAGGGAGACTGTGGTGGTGTCAGCCACAGGGAACTGTGGTGGTGTCAGTTACAGGGAGACTGTGGTGGTGTCAGCCACAGGGAACTGTGGTGGTGTCAGCTACAGGGAGACTGTTGTGGTGTCAGCCACGGGGAGACTGTGGTGGTGTCAGCCACGGGGAGGCTGTGGTGGTGTCAGCCACGGGGAACTGTGGTGGTGTCAGCCACGGGGAGACTGTGGTGGTGTCAGCCACAGGGAACTGTGGTGGTGTCAGTCACAGGGAGGCTGTGGTGGTGTCAGTCACAGGGAACTCTTAGTGGTGTCAGCTGGGAAGGCGCACACACACACACACACACGTGTATGTGCGCATTCTTCAGACGTGTCTACAGTGACTGATGTTGTTTGCACATGCTACAGTTGGGTGTATTTACTGTAGTTGCTCGTATGTGGCACTAATTGTATGATCGCGCGTAGCCAACATGTACATTCTCTCTCATTTGGTTAACAATTCAGACAGTTTAGTTAGCCCTCTGTTCTGCTTTCTAGCCGATCGCGCTAAGGAATAGGTGATTAGTGAAGACCTGATTACCACCCCTCGGTTATGTTAGGGGGGGGGGAGGAGACTAAGACTGGATCAGAATACATATATGCAGTAAGCCATTGTTGACGGCTTACCTGGAGTTTACCTGGAGTTGGTTCTGAGAGTTCTTCGGCTCCCGAATCACGATCTGTGGGCCAGGCTTAGTTTGTGATAACTTGATCTTGAAGGCTGTTTGCTTCGAGCTGTTTGCTTACTAAAAAACACTATAATTTGTATTGCTAACTTATTCAGGTGTTCAAATTTAATTTGCACCTACCTGTACGTCCTCAACTTGGACCTAGGAAATAGCCATTGTGTCGATTCTTCAGAATATTTCGTATATTGTAGTCATGTCCCCTCAGTAACTGGTTCTCCACTGTTATGGATGGTCACCAACGTGTTAAAATCTTTGGACTATTTTAGAGTAAGGCTTAACATTAACCATAGACAGGTCATGCCCTAATCCTGCTAACAGAAGTCTGAGTTCGTCTGCACTAGCACCCACCTGTGTGAAAAAGAAGGGGGGGGGGAATGAATTTTAAATTTAAATTTTGCCCCGAGGGGCGAGTTTATTGGGCAGCGCCACTCATCTTGTGAGTGGACACACCGTCATAGCAGCATGTACAACACTCCCCAATAGGAAGAAAACCCGCTGGGTTGTTCATCCTGTCACTTGTACCCAGACACAGCTGGGAAGGGGGGAATATGTGGGCTGTACGCTAGAGCCATACATTCTAGTACTGGTTTTAAACACACAGTATATAGTATCCTGGGGTGACCCCTTGAGATTCCCGGAGGCTGTTGCATACGCTGCTGATCTTGCTTTGTTTACATGTGCCTCTGTGGCCAAGACCTATACTGGTCGCTTGCTGACCGGGAGGTACCTTCCCCCCGTGCAGGCGCGGCACGACTGCCCTCCTTTCTCCTCCTCCCATCCTCCTTGTTTTGCGTTTAATGGGGTCGAGCTCCTGTGGCCACTTATTAGACAATTATATGTAAAATTACATATAATTTTACAGCATTTTAACATCAACCATGTCAGCTGTTGTTAGTTTCACATCGCGATTGCTTTATCCACCCCCGTGTTCATGAGGCTATCCTCCCAATGCCTTCAAAGTTTGCCAGTGTAGGCTACTGATCACATGACCCTGTATGACTAACCATCCTGCGAAGTAAGGAGTTTTAGTATCCCACAGCTGGCTCCTGACACTACGCAAACCTTCATATAGTCTAGGGTAGCTGCATAAATGACCAGGCACCTTAGCATGTTAAGTCAAAAATATGAAGGCTGTTTCCCAGGAAAGAGTGACCTTAATAACACAAGATGTTCCGCGCTTGGTCTAGGGCATAACATTCACTACTTACACACAGAAGTCCCAATAATGTGATGCATCAAATGAACAAATCCACAAGGGCCGTGACGAGGATACGGACGTAGGTTCGAATTCTCGTCACGGCCCTTGTGGATTTGTTCATTCTCTACTTGATTCACTACTATAATACTCTAGATATAATCTAGGTTGGTTATTCACGCACATCTAAATGTACTTTCAGGGTTATGCACTAGCTCTTGAGCCCCGTCACAGTTGTTGTTGCTTGTCAAGAGCACTAGATCCCGATCATCATGTTTTCTGTAATAATTACCTTACCTGTCCCTGATGAAATGATTAGCTGGTCCTACAGTCCTTGTTTCATCAAGTATTCTAGTACTCCTAGTCGCCTCACCCATATGTTCGGTTATTACCTTAATATTTACCAGTCTCTGAAGCTGCCTCTTACCTCTAGGAACCGTTCCTGACCTCTTGTGAATACGCCCCATGGAAGCTGCCATTAAATTCCTCATAGTTTTTCATTCCACACTTGTTTTCGTGAACTTTTATTTCAATTTAATATATTTGGATATGGGGCCACTTCGGTTGTTTCTTGTCCTTAACACAAACGCTCCAGAACAGCTTCCAGGGGTATGTTGTGTATTTTTTTTTATATTACTGCATGTATTTCTTTTCTGGATGCCAATTGTGATTTTACTTCTACTGTGCATTTTATTTTTTTTCGTAGTAATGACCTCTTTGTATTTTTCCTTCAGGATTCTCAACATGGGGGAAGAAGATGGGCAAGAAACTGGAGCAGCTGACACGGGGAGAGAGCAAGGAGCACATCCACTTCCCCCTGGGGTCCACTCGCACTCGCCGCAGGAACTGGCGACCTAACAAGGATGTAGAGACGCTGCCGGTGTCCCCGAAGGAGGCCAAGACCGCCCCGCCCCGCCAGCCTCGCAGGGCTAAAGTGGACCGCGTCGAGAGCATCCGTAATCTCTTCCGTCGTTCTCGTAGCTGGGACTCCGCGAAAGACCTGGAGGATCTACCGGTAACGAGAACCACTAAGTCATCGGACTCGAGTGTTGACGGCGCGAAGGGTCTCGCTCGAGACTCCGATAATGTGTATGAGTCTCTCAAGGATGTGGACAGTGGACCAGTGGGTATGAAATCTACAACGTTGTTTAGAAGCGCATCCACGTCCCATCTGCCAGGTTGCGAGGTGGGTGTGGGCGTGGAGAGTGTGGGCGCGGGGGAGGCGCGGACAGAGGGCGCCGAGGAGGTCGGGGAGGGCGAGTGTGAAGGAAAGACGAGCGAAGGCGAGAAGTCTACCAAGAAGGGTCAATTTCCGTATGCGTTCCTGAGATCCAGACTGACCTCGGTCGCGGAGGAGCAAGCGACCGCTAGGGAAGAGTGTGGTGACAGCGGACGGGGCACCGGCAGCCACTGCGGCAGCATTTCTGATGTCAGAACTTCTTATTCGGAGACATCCGACTCTAAGTCTTCCTTTTCAGAAAATTCGGACACAAAGTCGTCTTGTTCGGACTCGTCAGATAATAAATGGGTTCGTGAGGAGGACGAGGAGGAGGATGGCGAGGAGACAGTGAGAGGCGAGGAGGCGAGTTCCCGGGTCACCAGGACAGGAGAGGACGCGGGCACCAAATCCTCCGCCAGGGACGTTGTCTCTCCCATCCCCGCACCAACTGGTTTCGGTGACGGTGATTTCGTAGTGACTGTGCGTGTACAGGCGGCGGCAGGGGGCGACGCGCGAACCTCCACCGTATATATTGAGCGCGAGTCTGACGAAGTCACCTGTGAACATGTCTCTAGGAAATCCTTACTGCTAAAACAAACGGAAAACAAATTAGGTGGTAGCATTAAAGCTGCTGTTAACCTGGCAGTGTTGACGGACGAGGAGAAGCTCGGAGTGCGGCAGGCTGCGTGTTGCCACCGCTGCTGTGATCCTCTACACCAGCAAGAATACGTTCCTTTGCCACCCGTCAGGAGGCGCCAACGATCCCAGCCCCGCATTCACACCCGCATGAGCTACCCGGCGGCCTCCTCCTCCACCGACACCCTCTACGAAGTCATATACCCTGCGGACGCCTACTCTAAACGCGCCTCGCTTGATCTAGAACGCCTAAATTCCAGAGTAGAACCCATAGACAGATGTGATCAACTAAACCGGTTCGATCGGCTAGATCGAGACGACCGTATCATTGAGCATGTACTAGAGACGAGACGCAGGTACTCTCGTTCAGTTTCCTTAGACCGCGCCGAGTCGTGGAGATGGCGGGATTCCCTCCAAAGTGACGACTGTGACGCAGATTCTTTGTACAGTGAGTCTGGGTACCGACGCAGGGCGCCGAGCCTGCCCCGCGCGCCCTCCTCCACCGCCACACTTCCACAGCCGCCACTAAAAAACAAAAGCTTCAGGTTGGTGCGCCTGGTGAAGAACGACTCCGACGAAGGCCTGGGACTCTACATCTCAGGCCAGAGGGCTCTTGGCTACGCCATCGCTCACATCCTGCCTGGCGGGCTCACCGACAGGTAAGTCTTCACCACAACTCTCTTCTTCTCTTCACTAACACTGCGTCTGTAATTCACCATTTAGTTTCGCTATCCATTACCTTATTATTTATGACAAAAATGTAAGAACTCTAACCTTATTAGCTCGACGATCACCATAACTAGAACAGTAATCTTCACTCGCAAGTAAACTTTGAAGAAGCTCTTCAGTATAATAATATATATATATATATTTTGAGATATATACAAGAGTTCGTTACATTCTTGTACAGCCACTAGTACGCGTAACGTTTCGGGCAGGTCCCTGGAATACGATCCCCACGAAGAATCGTTTTTACAACCAAGTACCCATTTTACTGTTAAGTTAAACAGACACAGTAAAGAATTTGCGCCCAGTAAATCCTCCCCGGCCAGGATACGAACCCATGACAAAGCGCTCGCGGAACGCCAGGCGAGTGTCTTACCACTGCACCACGGAGACTGGAAGATGCATTTTTAGAAGAGACTTTTTACGATGCATATAAGTCAAATGGGAGATTGCCCTCGATCTGTGTAATCCAGCCGTGTTAACTTCACTCGGGAGAGAGAAATGTACCTAAGATCTTGTACAGCGAGGCAGGGGCTGCTAGACGCCAGTGTTAGTACACTTAGACGTCCAAGTGTAGCTGGCCTCTGAATGAAACATACACACATAACGCACTCAATTTCACACTCTCAATTCTCTTTTGACTTTAAATTCTCTTTTACATTAAATTGACGGTAATGTATGCCCCCAACATGTCAAGGGGTAAATTTAATCATTTATCCTTTTATAAGTGCTACGGTAAGTGTAGGGGCCTGACAACTGAGTGGACAGCACTTCGGATTCGTAGTCCTGAGGTTCCGGGTTCGATCCCCGGTGGAGGCGAAAACAAATGGGGCACAGAGTTTTTTTTCACTCTGATGCCCCCTGTTACCTAGCAGTAAATAGGCACCTGGGAGTTAGACAGCTGCTACGGGCTGCTTCCTTGGGAGTGTGTCGAGGAGGCCTGGTCGGGGACCGGGTCGCGGGGACGCTAAGCCCCCGAAATCATCTCAAGATAACTTCAAGATAACGGTGAGAGAAGTACGCCAAGATACGGGCTCACCATAGGCCGTGCAACTTGGAACTTTTTGTTCCAGGTAGCGAATCTTAAACAACAACATACGCCAAGATCATATATTGCCTGCACCGTGGTAACCTCAGCAACGCGATCCATCTTGTTGATTGATGGCTTCCCGACGGTGTCGTCTTCAAGGAGGTGAGAGTAACGCCGAGGGACGCTCGCTGTCCTCCCACACCATTTGTTTCCTGCCCTCAAAGTGTAATGAGATTTTGAACAGCAAATTTGTCAAATTTAGCGGCGAATCGATAGATAACTTTACATGGTTCGTGTCCAGGTGGTGTGGGTGTGTGTGTTTACTATTTGTGCCTGCAGGATCAAGCTGTTAGCTCTTGGACTCCGCCTTTTTGTCGGTTGTCTAATGTACTGAATCGTCCTGTTGTTTGTTGTTATAGATTCAGCTACTGGGAACAAAAAGTTCCAAGTAGCACGGGCTATGGTGAGCCCGTAGTGGACTTACCTAATACAGGACCGGGGTTGTGGAATCGTCCTATGTTGTTGTTGTTGTTATAGATTAAGCTACTCGGAACAAGTTCCAAGTAGCACGGGCTATGGTGAGCCCGTAGTGGACTTATCTGGCACAGGAGCGGTGCCGTCTGCGTGGAATCGTCCTGATTGATTGATTGATGAAAATTAAGCCACCCAAGAGGTGGCACGGCATGAATAGCCCGTAAGTGGTGGCCCTTTTGAGCCATTACCAGTATCAAGAGCTGATACTGGAGATCTGTGGAGGTGCGACTGCACCCTGCGTGACGGGAGATGTCTCCCGTTCTGGAATCGTCATATGTTGTTGTTTCAGATTTAGCCACTCAGAACAAAAGTTCCAAGTAGCACCGGCTATGGTGAGCCCGTGGTGGACTTACCTGGCACAGGAGCGGTGCTGAAAACGGAATCGTCATATTTTCCTGTCATATATACTACGTATCTGTGTCTTTGGGGGTGGGGGGGGGACAGGACAGGCTTGAGTCAGATGAGTTTTCCATACTGTTGAGAGAGCTTCAACCGCCTGCGTTTTCTTTTGGCATAAGACCGAGAAATTGGTTTGTATATTTACCACGGGGAAGGTCTCCCCATCACTACCAGAACTTAGTCAACTATTACGCACCCCATACCCATCCTGTGGGCGGTGGGGGAAAGGATTACAGATGCACATAATGGGTTCATGAAGACACCCAACTGGGCGGCAGTTTTACAGTCATGTGCATGCTGCACCTACAGTAAGCAAATTGTTAATACTTCGTTGTTGTCTGGGCAAAAGACAACAACAACTCTCTCTCGCCAAGGTGAAACATGAGAGAGAGAGAGAGAGAGAGAGAGAGAGAGAGAGAGAGAGAGAGAGAGAGAGAGAGAGAGAGAGAGGTGATTTCGATCCCATTGCATGACCTCAATATTTACTCATTAATCACGTTCTTGTCCTTTCAACTAATGCAGCTCACATATATCCACGTTTTCTATGCTTAGGTTCGTTAGGTTAGGTGGGTGACTTGGGTTCGTGCGTTTCAGTACCACCTTATTTGTATTCTGTGGCAAATCTAAAAGAACTGGCTAGCTAGAGAGCAGTTTGGACAGAGGCAACTTGATTATAAAGTTTACTGACGTCAACAACCGTATTGGTGTTTAGAAATGGACTATGCCAGCAACCAACCACAACAGCCTCTATTCCCCCTCACCTCATTCCCTCTCCCTCGCATCACCGGATATCCTCCGTGTCGTTACCGTACACTGAGGCTGTACGTGAGCGCTAAAGACGGCACGTGACCCCTTATAACGGTACGTGCCACCAGGAGATTGGACCCCACCCCACCAAGGGCTTGGACCCCACCCCAACAAGGGCTTGGACCCCACCACCTGCCTCCCAGGAGCTGCTGGAGTTCTTCCACCAGCACCACGACGGTTCTGACCCACTTGGTGCTGGGACGAGGCTGCTGGGCCCGGAGGCTCGTGGCCTTCAGACTTTATTCCTAATGAAACATCACTTTTTCGTGGTGGCAGTAATTGCATGTTCTGCAATTTCAATTTAATTTTCAGACTTAAGAGTGGACCTTCTTACGAGCATCGTGTCCCGGGGGGAGGGGGGGATAGAGGAGTTGCAGCCTCTTCCCTCAGGCTTGACTCATCATTTTGGGAGTTGAGCACAAACTGCAAACCCCACGTAACCCAACCTCATCTAACCCAACCTCGCCTAACCCAACCCCATCTAACTGCGATGGAAGACTTGGAACTTACAGTTGGGACATTGACAGTGGTTTTGTGGCGTTCTTAAGGACGGTCGATTTCGGTTTAGTGATGGGCTCAACGACAGTCCAGTCAGTCACTGGAGAATAAGGCTAAGCCAGCTTCCTGACCAACCAGCAAGTATACTTAAGTCCTAAACAAGGTTCCAAACTGAAAAAAAGTCCGTGTATGAAATCTGGGGAAGTAGATTTAGTAAATTAAATTAATTATTAATTGTATATGATTAAGGAAGTAACGTTAATCATATACATCGAGTAGAACGACTTATCCATCTCGGTGTATATATACTCTAAAAAGAAGAGCTCACCCATCAGGGTATATATATTCCCCCACTGAGGAAACACGTCTCGGTTACATAAACAGGTGGGTTGTGAAGGCCTGTGATCCCCGCTGGTGAGTTTGTGTTGAGTGTGGCTCACCACCACACAGCTTGGCCGTCCCCTCTCCCTCCCCCCCCCCCTCCCTTCATAGGCCTTCAAGTGGCAGATATTGATCCGTGACGGGTGGGGGGGGGGAGCACCGGGCGGGTCACTGGTAAATGTCACCACAGTTTCTGTTAATGGTCTTTGTCGAGGCTCCGTCTTGTCCCGCCACACCGTTCTTGTGTGTTATGGTCTTGTCTCTCGTCTTCACCTCTCTCATACACTCGACAAGTGTCTGTATATATATATATATATATATATATATATATATATATATATATATATATATATATATATATATATATATATATATATATATATATATATATAATAAGAACCTTCGGTGTGGAAGACCAAGTAATTCAATAAAGCTGCTGGTGGGAGCCAATTACCAACACGTGGAGGCTTGGCTGAATCGCCTTCAGTGTCTAGAGTGACTGAAAAAAAAGCTTAATTAAACTGTAGTTATGCTTAAAGTGATTGATCGGAGACTTGTATGAACCTAAGACTTTCTCCGCCAGAGCCATGGGCTAGGATACCTCAAGCATTTACGCATCAATGTACGAAACGTACACATCTTTCCCCAGTCATGCCGGCTTTGTTTACATTGATTAAACAGTTTACGAGCTCCGAATTTCACAACCCAAGGTTATTATTGTTAAAAACAACCTCGTACTGCCGCGTAGCTCATAACCTGTTTAATAAATGTAAACAAAGCCGCCATGATTGAGAAAAAGATGTACAGGTGTCGTAAGGGGCTGCGTAAATGCTTGACGAATCGTGGCTCGGGTCTTACGTATCGTAAATTAGACAACAGTGGAGACAGGAGCCTAACGAGGAGCTGAGAGGAGCATCTCTCGTGTCTCAGCTCCCTATGCATCACCATCATTGGGGTTATATCGATCGGGGTTACCTCGGGGGAGGACGGAGGCGACCTCGGCGTCCTCGACACTGGGGGAGGACACATGTCTAGGGGCCTGGACGCCCAGGGACACTGTGGGGGGACACGTCCAGGGGCCTGGACGCCCAGGGACACTGTTGGAGGACACATGTCTAGGGGCCTGGACGCCCAGGGACACTGTGGGGGGACACGTCCAGGGGCCTGGACGCCCAGGGACACTGTGGGGGGACACGGCCAGGGACACAGTGAGGGGACACGGCCAGGGACACTGTGGGGGGACACGGCCAGGGGCCTGGACGCCCAGGGACACTGTGGGGGGAC